ATGAGTTGGATAGAATCGGAACTGCATTTCAACAACCTGCCGGGAGAATCACTTGATATTTTGCTAGACGAATCAGTATTTTCTAGTGCGTATACCAAAGGGAAATCCGATTATGTGAGGCAACCAATTTCAAAACACGGTCTCAAACGCATATGGGAATTTCTTATTGAAGAAGGCGAAGGTAGTGCTGAATTGCAGTTCAGTCCATATGGAGGGAGAATTGGTGAGATTTCGGATTCCGAAATTCCTTTCCCACATCGGTCAGGCAACATATTCATGATCGAATATTCAGTATTCTGGTCTGCAGAGGAGAATACAGAATCAGAAAGGCACATAAACTGGATTCGAAGACTTCACAGCTTTATGGCTCGTTACGTCTCGAAATCTCCAAGAGCAGCATATGTCAATTACCGGGACTAATCTCCAAGAGCAGCATATGTCAATTACCGGGACTTGGATAATGGAAGGAACAATATTTATGGGAGCACCAGTTTTGTATGGGGATTTCAGTATTTCAAGAATAATTTCAGAAGATTGGTTCAAGTGAAGACTAAGGTGGATCCAACTAATTTCTTTAGGAACGAACAAAGTATTCCACCTATCTCTCCATGGTAAAATTAAGAGAAATATGCTACTTATACATAATGCGCTATCTATGATGGTATCTACCCTCCTCACATGAAGTGTACCCTGATGTACATATAGCATTACCCAAATTAAGAAGTACATTTAAAGGCTTGTCATCTATTATATACTTAATAAATAAGATGTCCACAATACTTTATCATGTAAACATAAATAAAGGAGGATCAACGTTACAATTATCCATCTGATTTGTTTTAACTTCACTATCATGTGGTCACATTCAGTCTACACTATATTCAAACCATGTATACTGAAATAAATAAGTCGAGACTGAAGTAGAGTGAGGGGAGTGTAGCTCAATGAATGGAAGGACTAGGGCTAATTCTAGGGTTCCTATATATAGATAATGTAATCCTATTATTCGCACATGATAGATTCATAGTCCCTTCGCTTCCATGGACGTAGGCATATTCCCAAACCACTTAAATCTCTGTGTTCTTATTTCTTTGTCGATTTCATATTCTTTAACATTATTATTGTTGCTCAAATGACTGAATTTCTAATTACAGATTATTTTCTCTTGGCGATGAAACTTACCCTCATTGAGCTACTCCACCTTTTACTTGCTTTATATAATATTTATGAGTCAATAAATCATTTAAGTTAATAAACAATCCATTTTCTAACAAATTTTGCAATAATCAATCCTATATAAATGCATTAGCTGGGGAATCGGGTTATTTCTTTATGGATGTCTCGCTAGAATAATCTTACCTTCTACTCGCTTCATATTTTAGGACAGTAAATTAACCAAGTTTATAACAAATTTTGCCATCCGTCAACCATACTCTACATAGAGACAATAGAATTTAAAATTAAAAAATAATAAATAAATGATCGGTTAGGGACCTTAGCTGATGACTCGAGGTAACAATTTGTCTCTCGAAAATGATTTTATTCCTTGATGTTCCATCCTTGTTATTTTAAAATACATATTTCAGACCCATATTTGATTCACTTTCTGTGCCATTAACCTTAATGGTGACAGAAATAACCGAGATTAATCAGATTGAAGTTAGGATATTCTTCTCATATAACCGAGACACAATAAACTCTAATCTCATTTCCACGGTAATTTACAAAGGTCACTATGAACATGTATAAATACATGCAACCAATCAGAAGAAAAATATAAAAACAAAACAAAGTATACTCTCACCTTTCCTTTAATTTTGGCATTTTATTTAATTATTATTATTATTATTATTATTATT